CCCAAAAAAAAGATAATATCTACGCAATTCAAGGAAACAGGAATGACGAAAATTTATCTGGACATGTACAAACGTCATAAGCAAAGCGATAGGCAATTCAATCAATTATTTTCACTTTGGCGCCACATAAAATGCCATGTGCGGTTTCCAAGGGAAATCTTCAAATCGATGCATGAGGCGGCTAGAAGTTTGGTGAAGCAAGTAGAGATGCTCGTGTGAGTTGGCTAATGTGCCTGTGAGATGAAAGTGAAGTGGGGAGGGAGGGAGCGGGCGGAGGGGGAGGGGGGGTGAGAGGGAGTGAGAGAAACTAAGTAGAAATTGGTGCACATCAACATCAGACAGAAGAGCTCGAGCGAGTGTCATTAAACAATAACGCAAGACAATTTCAAAAAAAGAGACGCACTTTAGGCAACTTAGATATGGGTAATAAGAATAGCATCCCATACTACGCACAAAGACGCATGGGGTATAAGAATGGCAATTGTAAAGTTCACATAAACTTTAATAGAAGTAGGCAATATCTAGGACAAGGCTACAACCCAAACAATTGATAGAGGGTAGAACTTTCAAAGACCAATGAATAGCTGTGACGTCATCCTACATTATTGCAGGCTCTAAGCACCAGTGCGTCGAAAAATATGCGTGACAGCAGCTACTGCGATGGTTAAAAATAATAATTATTTGCAGAAGAAATGACACAAAATAGCCGATGACAAAAGAACGATCCAGTTTCAAAGTTCAAGGAACAAAAAACTCATTTTTTCCATTACAATCTTTTAAAGTAACGAATCAGTAAGGAATGGCCCCTAAACTTCCAGAAAAGTATTGATTTAATTTTGCTTTAATTTTTGAAGCAGAGACAATTATTTGGCAATTTCAGTCTGCGAAAAATCACTTTCAGACACAACTAATGAGCACATCGTACTTTCACCATCTAGAAATCTAACCTTCCTTTTATTTCTACGTGAAAGGACATAGCGGGGGTTAAGAAATCGAGAAATGGAACCGAGGATCAATGCCAAAGCTGGATTAAGAGTTGAAAGAATAAAGAAAGAGGGGTGTGTGATAGACTTACATCCACATTGGGCACCCTGGGCAACGTCTACTCATACGTCAAAAAAGTCCATTACCTGGCAGTTGACTTCGGACTTCAAACTGCCATGACCCCACTGTATGTCATATTCGACTACTTCCACAGTACTCACCTCACCTTTTTTCCACCTTATCTACCTTCGTCTTTGAAACGATCTTCTGTTCCCCTCCCCCTCCCCCTCTCAACTTTTTTTCACTTTGATGCTCCTTCCCCCTGTGAAGCCTGAAGTCAACTAAAAGGCTTATGATAACCATCAAAACGCCTGTCATTTGATATAATAATAAGAATAAAGAAAGAAAGGAATTCATGTAGTAGAATAGAGAATTGCTCCATTGAGTTTTCTCCTTTGAATTCCCAACACACACACTCATTCAATAGATGATTCACGCCTTCACGTTTCGAAATTCAAAATTCAAATCGTTTCCCCAATTTCGAGTATTTATTGAGGGATTGTGAAATCGATTTCCTTTTCAAAGACGATTTTTTACTTCCGAAACTAGACCAGCCGTAATTATGTACAAGGATCTGGAAGACCAAGGAGGAAACATGCCTGGCGTGGTTCACATGCTTCCACATTGTGCCCATTTCAACTACTTCGATAGATAAACAAACCAGACGCATGTGAAGACACAGAGGAAGCCAATCATACTCAAGTCGACCTATCTCAAGGGCATTTATCAGATGGGAAGATATTCATTTATTTATATCAAATGGCAGGCGTTTTGATAGTTATCATTAGCCCATCAGCTGACTTCGGGGCTTCATAGAGAGGAGAAGGAACATCAAAGTGACAAAAAGTCGAGTGGAGAAACAGAAGAGTGATTCACAGATGTAAGAGACAGACAGACAGACACAAAGGCGTAAAAAAGGTAAGATGAGTACTGTGAAAGGGGTCGAATATGACAAATAGCCGGGCCATAGTAGTTTGAAGGCAGAAGTCAAATGCCTGTTCATAGACTTTTGCCGTATGAGTATACGTTGCCCAGGGTGCACCACGTGGAGGTAAGTCTATCGCAGACCCCAGGCAGATATTCATAATCCGAATAGCATGAAAATTGAGATTCATAAGACCGAAAAAAAACAATTGCCACAAGCCTTTCGTAACATGCAAACTAATAAACTGTAGGATAAAGCACCACTTTCGATGGACTAGGAAAGAAGTCAAGTGCTTTGCTTATTCATCATAGAAGGAAGACTTACAGTTTCAAGCTGAATGGTGCTGATACAGGGAGTGTCATTTCGGATATTGCGACAGGCAACGTAGCACATCATCTCTGGAGTGATATCCTCCCCGCGTGACAAAGAGCACTCTGTCCAACCAGGAATTCGTTCGCAGACCGAGCCAAGACACTCACCGCCCTTGCAGACACGGGTGTGATTCTGAAAAGACAGCAAAGTAAATAGGCTAAGGCGCAATTTAATGGCTTAAAGATTAGCTTACAATCATCGAATGGCCCAAACCTCTCACTATATGAAATAGGAAATCGGCTTAAAGCGGCCTTCACCAGAGTACACAAACAGAAAGATCTAAGTATCCCAGAGGATTAATAAAAAATGAATATAATAAAAAGCTGTATCAAAGAGCGAGACTTTAATAACTTCTCATAGGCCGAATTTAAAACCGGGTGGTCAAATGCATGTTATCCATAGCCAGAATCACGGAATTTTCAATAACTCCATCAGTAGATTTCGATTGTAAGTTGGGCCGTGTGGTTCAAACGTGAACACTCAATAGTAGAAAGCAGAGTGGCAAAATTCAAATAAATAAAGGCCAAACGGAAGTTGGCATTCCATTAGTTGCTCCATTTTTTAAAGGATAGAACAGGAAGTCACGTCAACATTCACTCCACTGACCGAAAGTGTCCAATAAAGTGGCTGAAACATGCTAATAAAACCAAGAGAGAGGACAAGGGCGGATTGGTGGGGAGGACAGAATGAAAATACGGAGTCATTTGAATCATGGACTATCGCCTTTTACCTCAACAAAGAGCACCAAAATTAACCAGTTTGAATTCTCTGGAGTGGTAGATAGGGCTGTTAAAAAAGTAGTAGGCCACTCTTCTCCTCTTAACCGAGACCTCTGCGCTTATAATGTTGGGAGGTGGCATAAATCAGCAAAGCCACACATCCGTCAAGTAACAAAGCCAAGAAACAAAAAATATGAAGTAGAGATTATTTAGTCTTAACTCCTCAATGTACAAATATTGATAGATTTGGCCGAAGTGCATGATTTGAGTGCTTGAACAGAAACTAGGGAATTACAAACTAATTTACTGGACAAATAGTTCAGAGGGAGGAGTGGGGGGTGGGGGTGGAGAGTAAACAAATGCAGGTGTAATTTTAAATTTCAGCTTTCCACTAATATCAATCAAATTGTCTCCCAATTGCCCGAAAGTTCTCCCATCCGAATATGAACGTATTTCGATGGGCCGTTATTTAGAGTTAAAAATTAAAATACAGTCTTACAGCTTTCCCTAATTGGGACTGAAGCTCAACTCTCTCGCTTGTGGGCGATTATTTTGTTCCTAAGAATGTTTTCATGAAATGAAATTTTCCGTTTAACCGCCCTGGGCGGATTTTCGGAAAACATCCCCGTAGTATATAAATGTGCCCGAATTGACCTTGTAATACGAACAAATCAAATATAACTGGTACTAAATCAATTTTCGATGAAATTCGGAGTTATTATTAGAGATCCATTTTAAGAAAAGTGAATACATGTTCCACCGTGAATATGACAAATACAATTACAAACGAATGACATAGAAATAGTACATCCGACTTTATTNCCCCCCCACTCACTTCAATATTTTATTTCCAAATGAAATTAAATATATTCTTAAGCAGAATAATCGCATTTTTTATGCAAGAGACAACCGAATTGTGCTTTGTCTAGTAACCCACTGGTATGTACGTCAGGAAAGGACCGACAGTAGAGGGTACCTACCACCGCCACTGCGCACAGTCACGTTCCCAATATGGCAAAGCCCACCAGACTGTTCGTAAATCCTTTATTGCCCACATGTCCTTGTGTTCAAGTGGAGGCGACATGAGGAGAGACACCATCGGTAACTATAAATAAGACAATGCCATCCGTAGGTACTGTCCCATTTAAATACCACCATACCAAACTTTTCGCCGAATTTTAATGGTATGGATGGGGGGGGGGGAACGAAGAATGACACAAAAAAGAGTGAGAAGCAGTGTAGAAGACTCTTAACTCATTACAATTAGGCACCGGACGACGCCTCAAAACGGTGTCCGAACCTGGGTTTGCTACTACAACGGAGCACAATCATATCCCCTTAACCAAGATCTAATTGGGGGGCGGGGGGGGGGAGGAGGTGAGCGATAGACTTACCTCCATGCGGTGCACCCTGGGCAATGTATACTCATACGGCAAAATAGTCTATTAACCGGCAGTTGACTTCTGACTTCAAACTATCATCTACTCGACCAATTCCATCGTACTCACCTAACTCTTTTCTCTACCTTGGTGTCTGTCTGCCTCTTTAACATCTGTGAATCACTCTTCTGTCCCCCCCTCCCCACTTTTTCTCACTCTGATGTTCCTCCCCTCTGTAAAGCCCGAAGTCAGCTAAAGGGCTAATGACAAGTGTCATAAAGCCCACCATTTGAAAGAAATAAACATAAGACCTAATTGGACTCATGTGACACCCTGACGCGGTGGCATCCCGAAACCCTGGAGACTCAGAGCAATTAAGGCCCGGTCCTTACACAGGACGATTCGTAAGATTTTAGGAAAGATTCATGACAGAGCAAACGCTCAAATATTTGGATAAACAAATTTCGACGGGAGAGAGAGAGGTTAGATAAACTGAATATTGTTTAACAAGGGAAATAAAATTAACCAATTAATTGGTCTAAAAAAACTAGGGTATTAGTTAAATTGCTCCAAAATTACAGAAGTATGAGTAACTTGGGGGAAGTTCGCTTGCACTAATACCATCAAGTTTAGAGGAGATTAAAAAACGCAAAAAACACGCCTCAAATGAAGCCTTGGCTTCATTGTCTCGAATGAGACCTCAACTAACCTTCAGCACCTGATGTAGCAGTCGAGCGATGGAGTTGACGGAGCACAGAGAGAACTTGTTATTATTCTCCTTGTCGCCGCCAGTAGCGCTGGCAAACATGATGTAATTGCCTTTGGGGTCATCCACAGAGGGCAGACAAGCTGGCGTCTCATCCTTAAAGTCATCGTCATGTTTGGCCCCCAAATTGTGACCCATCTCGTGAGCGAAGGTCAGCTGGGAGATCTTCATGGACACCTTGTTGTGTGAAAAGGATAAGAATGCACACATAGTAATTGAAGGGAAATAATGCAGATTCAACCACATAATTACTCAATACTTTTGAACATATATATGCAGTGATCAGAAACTGACGCATACGCTGTTTTAATAACCATCAAAAGTTATTACTTAAAGGGAAAGTTAAATTCTCTCCAAATTTAGTCCACTTATTCAAATTAATTCCCAAAAAATCCAAAACTCGCGTTCATCACTATCACAGCTGAAAGACTACAAAAAATATGCACTTTTTATCTCCATAAATTTTGTTCTTGCAAGATACAATAGCATTGGGAAAAAACCCATTTACAAGGCCTTTTGGTTAATTGGGGAACACAAAACACTTTGCTGGTAGTTTTATAATGCATCCCCCCCTTCCCACCCACCCACCCACCCCCCACCCCTCCACCTCCACCCAGTTTATTGAAACAGAGCCGAAGAGGCGGCATCAAATGAAGAACACAAGGCAATACATCAAGTTCTTCTTGGACAAATTGTGCGTACGGAAATGCATAAATTCCACCGAGACCCTCTCAACAAAAGCGGAATACAACACCATCATACAAAGCCATCTGGAGGGAAGGCAATACAATTTCCACTATAGTTTTGAAGAATAATTCACCAAACCATGCAGTAGCTTCAAAAAAATTCATTAAGGATATTAAAAAAAATTCCTCTCTAATAGGAAATACATAAATCAATTTTTTTTTTGAAATAAAAAGTCACTCAGTGACATTGCAAGCTCCGAGACAATGGGAAAACAATAAATATGCTTAAACAATTGTTCTCTTGTTTTTTTTTGTTTCAGAGAACGACACGACCGAGTAGAGAGGAAAAAAAGGAAAGGCCATTTCACCAACCAATTCAATAAGCTTCGCATACTTGTTATTTAAATTCGTCCTTGAAATACACCATCTAATACCAAACATCCGTGGCTTGGTGGTAGGAGCGAATAACGACCAAATCAGAGGTCAAGTTAAATGGCAAGAAAATGTTAATGAATTTCATGTCTGATTGGCTCCGATGATGCAACGCTGACACACAGGAGATGAGGATTAGGAAGCTTATTAACCAGAGGAGGTTGGAAGAAGATGATTTAACCATTCCGGAATGGCGCTGGGCAAACTTCACATAAGAGCAATTGGCAAGAAAGAGAGAAGAGGCGATTAATAGCTTACTCTTGAGATAATTAATTAAATGCCTTCTACAAATTAACACTTTTAATCACGTTTAAACAAAATCAAAGATAAATTCATTGCATATCTATTTGGCGTTGAAAATCTAGCCTCTAAGCATGGGTCTTGAAATCCGGTTCTGGATAAAGCAAACCCAAAAATAAATTTAAAAAAAACATAAATAAATCCCACTTATTAAATAGACAATAATTAGATTATTCCCAGTTTTCGTCATTTAGAATAATCTTAACATACGAGCTTTATTACCATCTCTCTCACCCAGAAATTGACAGATTAGAATTTGTTGCGTTCACATCTACTGATGACGCTCTTGTGAAAGTACCAGTCATTCATATTTTTACTAGAACTGCAAAATGAAGTTCGCCAAAAAAAAGAAACTGTTTACTGGTAAAAAAAGAAAACGAGAAAGACAAATAGCCAATCATTTAACAGTGCGCATGTATTATTACTAACCAATAAGATGTAAGATTGTAAAGCTTAAATTATTCACAAACAACGACGTGGTATGAAAGCTGATGTTTCCATGCATTTATATCCAAACTACTCATTAATACGCACAATCAAGTTGAAAATGCCCCACTCACAGAAAGTATTAAAATAAAAGAGCAAATTAAACAAATCAATAACAATAATTTTATTACAGGATACTATTGGGGAATATTTGAAAGAATTGCAATGAAAGCATTGAATTTTGTGAAAAGCAATATGGTTCAAGTGCATTTTCTTCAAAAGGAATCTCAAATGAAAAAAAAGTGAAAAGGTGAAACAAATTGGAAATTCTAAAACTCTTAAGATGATTTGTGAAGAGGCAGATTTCAAAAAAAGCACAAAGGGTAAGACAAAAGATAGGATCGAATCTTGAGGACAAAAAGCACAATTTATGCCACCAGCTATTTTATAAAGATTGTTTTCAAGACTGCAAGGGTTAGAGGGTGTGACCTTTGCACTTCGGTTTAATACTTCATTACTTAGAAAGTGATGCAGAGTGCAACTTACATTCCAAATTACAACAATGCGCGTTTTCACCTTGCACCCATCGATTATACATTTGTTAAAACAAAAACATTATAAGGTGCACGAAAAACATTACGCTACCGAAATAAAGTCCTTATATTAGATAAAAAAACAAATGTCAACCTATATATATATATATATATATATATATATATATGTGTGTGTGTGTGTGTGTGTATAGGCGCACTATAAGATATTGTGGCTGGAAAAAGGTGGGGAAGATAGAACATCTACCGGAAAAGAAGGAAGCCTTTCAAATAAGCTTATGGATCAGTGTGACATGGAAAGCAGATGGAAACTTGGGGGAAATAAATGCGTATTCACGAGGGTGTAACCAACTAGCTCAAAATGTGCCAATTAAACAGCTCAAGTTTAACCATAACCCCTGTTGCGCAGTAAATTCATAAAATTCCACAACAACTCCACTCCCGCCCCCCCCCCACCCCACCCCACCCCAATGCGTTATTGTGGCGGATTTCTGTGGCAATTTAAAGGCCCTACAGGCAGATTTTTCGTGTTTCTCACAAGCCAATAAAATAATCAGGAAATTCTAGGAATACTACTTTCATGCACATAATACTAACCATCCTTTTTAACCATCAGCGGGTAAGGCAAAAAAATGTTTGCTTGTTAAAAAATACGGTATGGCAGCATATTGAGGCTAAAAATAGGCGTGAGACAGGAAAGGGAGATCAGTAGGAAGGCAGAATCTTAATTTGCTCGAACCATTTACACACACACACACACACACACGGGTCTTGCGGTTCATAACCACGAAATTTCGGGATGGTGGCGAGGTTTATGCAACTGGTCCCGCGATCGATCATGCCAACTCAAGGTATCGTCTCTGATCGAGGCTTGAAAAGACTTGCATAAGCTATTCCCCCCCCCCCCCCCCCCACCCTTAAATATTGATGCTCCAATTATCCCAAGAGAATCAGTCAGCTTCCACCAATCTTCTACCTCTAAATTCGTGATCTCGAATCAATTAAATTCACCTGAAGGGTGTAATTGAGGGAAAGGGATATTGAGCGATTCGTCATAGCGATACTCTAATGTATGAAAATGCTGGGGAGGGGGGTGGGAGGGGAGGGGTGTAATATCTCGATTTCCTTTTGAGGCGCCTGCAGGATACCCTAATCGCTCATAGCAGTGACTTGGACGCTTCAAGCTTTCTGGCGCGTAGCCAAACATGCCTTCGTAGTGATTTATAATTCGCGTCGAACTCCTTATTGATAGTATTTATATCAAATAGCAGGTGTTTTGATAGGTATCTTAGGCCTTTTAGCTGACTTCGGGCTTCATGGAGAGGAGGAGGAACATCAAAGTAACAAAAAGTCGAGATAGGGGGGGGGGTGAAGAAGAGTGATTCACAGATGTAAAAGAGACAGAGACACAAAGGTAGAGAAAAGAGTAAGGTGAGTACTGTCAAGGTGGTGGAATATGACATACAGTTGGGTCATGGTAGTTTGAAGTGAGAAGTCAACTGTCTGTTTGAAGACTTTTTTGTCGTATGAGTATGCGTTTCCCAGGGCGCACCACGTGGAGGTAAGTCTATCGCACACCCCCTTATGGATATAAAAAAGTCGATAAAGATCAGTCTCTTCAAGGAACTCCATGAATTCACAGAGTGCAGAGAAGTTGCCAAAAAATTGTTGCGCGCTCAGAGGATTATAACATTCAGTTTAAAATAGATATTGGTTGAGCGGTGCTGGCAAACACATTCTGGCAAAAATTTTCTAAAAAATATATATACTAAAACATAATTAACCTTAGACAATGATTTAGATTGCTAAAAATTTCCCTATTCAACTAATAATTTTAATAGATTAACATATTAAAATCAACCCACACGTTGCACGCATTTTCTCTCTGATAGCAGCAGAAAATATGCTTACTCCCCTGCAAGAAATGAAATGTAAGGAGAATCTAAAGGTTAAGTATGGCAGCCACAACAACTCCCACCAACAACTCCTTCTGCCAATGAAAAAAACGCCCAAATGTCCCAATAAAGAGCGAAAATGAGGATTCATGTTTGCACCGACAACATAGCAAGCATAGCACATTCAGGGATGATTCCACTGTCTAATCAATATGAAATGGATTCCCGGCGCAGTAACTAAGCACCATGGTGTTACTTATGCTGAAGGATCCAGGAATTACTGAATCACTTGAATATCAATTCAAATTGTCTGAAAAAATAGCATTTACAAGTATGATTTTGCCTAATACAGCTTTCAGAAGTCAATAGCGCCAACATTTGTTAAATTTCCACTATGCAAAGAAGGACACTTGCTGCTATTCGTGAGATGTTTTGAAAAAAAATCTTTCCAAGGACGTAAAAAAAGCGAAATACCTCTCTCCCTCGCCTTAAAACAGAATTTTCAAATGCAACTCTTTTGTCAGTTGTGGAGAGGTTAGGAGGCAACCCCCACACAACACCACCGTCTTCAAAAGGCACAAAAAAGACAAGTTGGCATACGAAGTAAAATCGCCCGCAAACAGACTTTATAAGACGAAAAGAATGTGTTAAGAGTGAATAGGTGGCTCTTTTTGATAAAACTTGCAGATTATTTGATAAGAAGGACTTTGCAGCGCTTATTTGCAGCATGGAAAAGGCATCGTAGAGTGTATTTGAGAAATTTCTAAAGGACCATTCTCATTATCGATCGATTCCATTGCTAGATTAACTTCGACGGATATCGAATTCACGATGCATATATATATATATATAATTAGAAACTCAAAATCCCAAATACTACTTAATTGCTAATAGGTAACATTATACAAACGACTCACTCTACTTCCGTAATTGAGCAGAGTGACCACACCAGTATTCAAGCTCTTCTTCACCGTATGGCTACCTTCCCTCATTAGACGATGCTTTTCACAAACCCCACCAGAACCCCCTAACTCAGCCACCCAAGCGAGACCCAGAGTTCCACCAGCGAAATCGCGATAGGTGAAAACATAGGCCAGACAGAAGTCGTCATGATTCGCATAGGAGTTAAGATTCAGGAAGTTGGTAACATCCACATTCTCTGAGCAGAAGGGATTCTCATGCCGATAGGATCCGCGTGAAAGCTTTGGCAAAGGCGGAAGGGAAGATCCTGAAGAATATTGAGGTGGGAATAACCGCAGACGTTCAGATGTTCGTCGTGGAAGGGCAGAAGGGGCTGGGCGATTGTTATTGGAGAGAAAATCGAAATGAGTGTTATTGTAAGGAAGGGGATGACAATCTTCTTCGGTGATGTTAATTAAAACTCGATCGACGCGGAAACCGACACCAGGATAAGCAAAGCGACCCTGAAAGGGAAAAAAACGAATGTCACTAGGTGGAAAAGAGGTTTAATGAATGAAAAGTACTTCACAGCACTCATCAAAGGGAGCGAACACGCCTCGTTGCCCAGACATCGATCATTAGTGTGCACAAATTAGCGTTAATTTAAATGGATAAAGAGAGAGAGAGAGAGAGAGGAGTGAAATAGGAAATTATAACTTCAAACTATTCCAACACCCACACATTTATACGACTGGCAGCTCTGTTCCCTTGTAGGCATAGTAGAAGTGCAGGAGGGGGGGGGAGATGAAGTGGGACAGAGATGATAATAATAATAATAATAATTTACTAAGGACTCCTGCACTTTTACTGGTAACTTTAGCGCGACAGAATTAACGAGTGGATAGGGATTAGAACTCATACCCCTCCTCATTCAAATGCGTGATGATAGGGAGAATGAATAATGACTAGAAATCAAGTGGATCCTGGAAGAGAATAACTTGCATCGTGATAATTCGCTCAGGGAAAAGTCGAGAATGGTTGACATCCAATTCATACGTCAACATCTGGCCTCAGAAATCCCCCCCCCCCCCTCCATCTGGCCTAAGATCTTAACCCGATGAAATGTTATGACTATTGGGGTGTGCGATAGACTTACCTCCACGTGGTGCACCCTGGGCAAACGTATACTCATGCGGCAAAAGTCTATTAACTGACAGTTGACTTCTGACTTTAAACTACCATGACCCCACTGTTTGTCATATTTCACCACTTCCACAGTACTCATCTTACCTTTTCTCTGCTCTATTGTCTGTCTGTCTTTTTTAGTCCGTGAATCATTATTCTGTCCCGCCTATCGACTTTTTATTACTTTGATATTCCTCCGCCTCTCTGTTAAGCCTGAAGTCAGCTAAATGGCTAATGATAACCATCGAAATGCCTGACATTTGAAATAAATAAATAAATGTTATGACTATGCATGGGGCAACGTGGAGGGGACACTAATCACCATGCTGGCGTTACAAAATCCCAATTAATGGGAAAAATGTGACCCTTTCAAAAGAAGTACAAAAAACAGCTTTTCCAGGTTTTGGGGCCGGGTCCAAAAATGAATGAACTCTAACATCATAAACCCATAAATTGTGACGTCCTGAAAAGAAGCCGAAGCAGGAGGAAGCAAGATCGCGCAGAGATAAGGAAAAAGTTCCAAACACGAGACAAGCGTTTAATTAATATTCATATGAACCTCAATAACACAGACACACACACACACACACACACGCACACACACACACACACACTCCAATTGACGTGCATGTTATACATTATTGAGTTAATTAAACAAATTAGATTGAGACGGTTAGATTTTAAGGACACCAAAAACACTCCTCAATTCACCAGCGCAAAGTAGACAGTAAGGCGATAGGAAGTAATAATTACTAATACCTGCGTGAAGCTGATTAGATGATTGAAGTTATTGCACGAGAGTGGTACAGCAGACGAGTTAGTTAAGATAAATAAGACGGCAACTTGCGTAAACAAAGACAAATTGTGCATACACAGTCAGTATAGTCACCTAGGGCAATGGGGAAAGAACGTCACACGATGTCGGTTGGTTTGGCAACGCACCTTAATTAGCCGTGAGAACTAATTTATTGCCCTAATTTAGTAGATTTCCCACCCTCCAGTTAGCAACACATATTTGCCTAAATAAATAAAAGGCAAATTGGCATACATGGTCGATTACATAATCACCTCCTTTACATACTACTTGTACATCAAAAGCGAATGAAGGCACCCAATATACTACTTTCTTATTATTATTTTAATAAAAAAATAGCATTTTGGAAGAGTTTAAATCAATTAACATTAATTAAAAAAATACAAACTGACAATAAACATAAAATGTGTAGGCTAGTATTCCCTATTTAGTTAAACAACAAGATCGAATTAGGCATGTGCTACATATTTCAAATTATTTTTAATGAAATAAAATAACTCACCCATTTAAATTTTAATAAGTTTACCCTAATTAATAATTAAGCGTAGATCAGATCAGATTAGGCAGATTTTCTGATTACAACGATTTTGGTAAATACTGCGATTACCTTGTGGTTGGTTAAATCAGTTCCTTCTGAAACTGACCCGACATTTCGATCTTTATACTACTACTACTACTACTGCTTCTCGATGTTTCCGTCATCGAAGCACCGTTTATTTTGCTTCAATTTACCACCTATTACGTATAAATCAGATTGTTTATATTCACATTATTAGAATTATCCACCACAGTCGGTCTCCTGCCTCTCACCTGGTATTGAAGTTTGAAAAACGGAAATGAGAAGAAACCTAAACAGTTTGATACACCTTAAGTCAATGAGCCCTCTTTGCAATATAATGGCTGCATTGCGTGGAAACATAGAAACACACGAATTAGCGTAAAATTATTTACAAATAAAATCAAAAAAGAAATCAAATTAAATATTGGGTGCTCGTAATGTAGGAAACGTAAACATGAATTTGTGAGCGTAAACCAATAAATAACCTTTCTGATTGGTTATGCAGCATAATCGATTGCGGTTTTTAAATTAGGCAGTAAAATAAATTGAGAAAAGTAGAAACATCATAAAATCGCACTCCGAATTAGTTTTTGAACGAAAATATTTGAATTAGACTTTAACAGCAATCAAACCAACTCATGAGGTAGCACATACAGTTTCAGACCTCACACAACAATTTCGAAACATTTCGGTCGCTTCTACCAATCACCGCATATTCACCAATATGCGATAAAACTTTATCTCCAACTTGATAGAGGTGCACATCGACTACTAATGCATCTATTAATAGTATTTTTGTACAGCGCCATGTTTTACTCTTCATAACACGCCACAACTACTCAGAAGACAACTTCGCCTTCAAACGAGGGATTCTTTTTTTTATCAATTAAAAAAAGCCAATTTGAGCATATGGAACTGAATATGGGAAAAAGGATTGGCAGCGTGTTTGTGCGTAGAAAACAAATAATCAATAGACCAGGGCATGAGAAATGAAGTTTGTGAGTTCTTTTTTTGAGTGCATCGATGACAATCAAGTTTTGTTTGGAATTTCAATTTAAAAAGGGAAAAATTTTCAAATGACGCTAACAATGGTTTTTTTTCAAAAATTAATCCCGCATTTATCAGAATTCGTTTAGGAACAAAATTATACTACCAAACAGTTGAGTGTAAACACCAAAACGCAACTTGCCATAAATCTTTGTTTATTTCTCTCGCCGTAAAACATTTTCGTTTGTTTTATAAAACCAGTGCGATGCTACGCAAACGGAGTCAATTAAGCGCAAGATTATGGCTGGCATATCTCTAATTAACACGTCTGTCATTCCCGGAATTATGTTAAGCATAGACTCGAACAAATAAATAGCTAAAAAAGTCAATTTTCGTAATTAAGGGAAGAAACATTAAATATTATTGAATGGAGATGGAATTGTGACGGGAAATTAAAACGGCTGAAGGAAAGGGCCAAGAAAAACAGGAAGATTTGCATAAACCAATATCAACAAGTGAGGGGTGTGCGATAGACTTACCTCCACGTGGTGCACTCTGGGCAACGTATATTCATACGGTAAAAAAGTCTATTGACTGGCAGTTGACTTCTCACTTCAAACTACCATCACCTCACTCTATGCCATATTCGACTATTTCCACAGTACTCACCTCATCTTTGTTCTACCTTTGTGTTTGTCTCTTACATCTTTGAAACACGCTTCTGTTCCCCCCCCCTCTCGATTTTTTTCAATTTGACGTTCCTTCCTCTCTGTGAAGCCAGAAGTCAACTAAAGGGCTAATGATAACCATCAAGACGCCTGCCATTTGATATAAATAAATAGCAACAAGTGAAGGGAGGGAGGTGA